CAGCTGCACAAAAACTTGACCAGTTTTGTGATGTGCGAGTAGTTATTCTTTCAACCAGAGCTATTACATCGGGCATAAAGTGGTTGAAAGATATGCAGATTCCAACTATGTATTTATTTATATACTTATAATACTGACTTTTAGCGTATAGTGACAACTAAACAAACATACACAAATGCAGTTAAAAGGCCACATGACATTAATACCCAAAGATAAAACATTTTGGATGTTATTTTCATGACAGTAAACAACTAATATTCATTAAATCTATTTTCTGAATATCCATCCATTGCGTTTATCCGGGGCCGTGTCGCGGGGGCAGCAGCCTAAGCAGAAAAGCCCAGACCTCCCTCTCCCCGGCCACCACCTCCAGCTTGTCCAGTGAAACACCAAGCGGTTCCCAGGCCAGCCGAGAGATATAACCTCTCCAGCGTGTCCTGGGTCTGCCCCGGGGCCTCCTCCCGGTGGGACATGCCCTGAAAGCATACTCGTCAGATGCCCAAACCACCTCATCTGGCTACTTTCAATATGGAGGAGCAGCGGCTCTACTCTGAGCCCCTCCCAGATGGCTGAACTTCTCACCCTATCTCTAAGGGAGAGGCCAGCCACCCTTTGGGGGAAGCTCATTTCTGCCACTTGTATCTGCGATCTCGTTCTTTCGGTCACTACCCACAGCTCATGACCATAGGTGAGGGTAGGGACATAGATCGACCGGTAAATTGAGAGCTTCGCTTTTACACTCCGTTCTCTCTTCAGCACGAAGGACCGGTGCAGCGTCCGTCGTCTGTCGATCTCCTACTCCCCTCTCCCGTCACTCGTGAGCAAGACCCCGAGATACTTGAACTCCTCCACTTCTTTTCTCATTAAATCCTCTGCAAACTACTAGTGTTCATTTTTATAAAATAATGAATACTTTATTTAAAAGTTGGGAAATTTTACAGAATTGCAAGCAGAGATACCGACATGTGACTATGATGTGTACGCTGCAGTGGATTACACTGTAAACTGGAACATTGAATCTTGTGTATGTTTTCTTCTTTTTAACAATATAAATTATAAAATTAAAACAATTTTTCAATGTATTATAATGAAAGAGGGATAATACTATCTGCTTTAACCCTTGCCTTCGTTTGACACTAATCTGATGCTACATTGGTTTTCCATGTCAGGCGGAGTACTCGGAGCTGGTTGAGACCCTGCTGTCCTCTCAGAGAGACGCCATAATCTACCAGCGGTTAGCCGACGCCTTCAACAAGCTGACAGCCAGCAGCACGCCACCCACCATGGACCGCAAGCAGAAGGTTGCCTTCCTCAAAAGCCTGGAGGAGTTTGTAGCCAACGTCGGCGGCCTGCTCTGCGTGAAATAACCACTGGAAAACCAAACCGGCCTCTAATCATCGTCGTTCTGAAAAGCAACCAATCAAAGACGCCCCCTGCTTCATCCCTGAGAACTATGGGTAGAAGGGACGGCTGAAAGCCTCGGAGGACCTCTCTGGCAGCTGGGGCCGGTTGATCTCATGCCTGAATGTTTACCCTGTTTTCACCTCCTTGGATGTCTCCCCCCCCCCCTTTCCTACTGTTTCACCCGCCTGCCCAGCACGATCAGCAGACGCGATGAAGAGGAGGAGGAGCTAATTGTGGAGACTAAACTGCTAAGCAGATGGACTCAGAGGTTCATGTTAGACTGAAGCAACTGAGCACGGACTGTCAAGCAGCAGCCGATGATTGCTGGTGTCCTCCCTTTCCACCTCCTCCTGCTCCTCCTCCCCCTCCTCATGTGCCTGGATCTTTCTGGAGCGCGCGCACACACACACACACACACACACACACACACACACACACACACACACACACACACAGGAACATAGAGAGCGACACTAAGGGCAAAACAAGTTGCTGTTCAGGTTTTGTATGCAGTTAGAGGCATTAGAGGGGCCAACCCACCCTAGTTCAAATACACACACACGTCACCCCAGTCCTTCCCAGAGTGCCTTTGTTCTGCCGATTGTTCTCTATGTGCGTCTGTGTGTTATAAGGAGAGAGAATCATGCCATACGAAAAATGACAACCAGTAAGGACTGTGCCTGCCAAAAACCTAAGAAGACATACAAAGCATGAGGTGTGGCCGGCTGTCTTTGAGGCTGCTGATGCACTCGGAACAGGAGGACATTTGTTTGTTGGGAACGTCAGAAAACCAAATTGAGATTGTGTTTGACTAAAGGGTGTAAATATCTATAAATATATAATGTTTTCAAGGCTGATACCCTTCAGAAATGTACGTTACGGGAATTAAAGATGACGGAAATGTTTTTATACACCAGTAAAAGGCAGGCAGAGATGTACGAGTTCAACAATGTATGAATTCAGCTAAAGAGGGAGCAATTTTCTCGCTGTTGACCTTTGCTGTTTGATATAGTTGGGGTTTTTTTCCCTTCCTATTTGGATTTTAGTTTATATTGTGGCCCCCTTGCCTCTGGACACGTGAAGGCCAGAGACAGATGGCGCCTTGAAAGTTTAGCAGGATGATTTTATTAGTATTTTTCTACAGCAGCACCTCCACCCGATCACTCTTCAACACACACACACTGGATATTACAGAGACTGTTGGAGTTGAAGGACAGCAATAACAAACCAAATAAAAAGGATCAGAGCCACTTGCTGAAGCATTATGTTGGAGACAGAACCCTCCTCGTTCACAGTCCTATCCCTGTTATTGTAGATGGCTGTTTTGTTAATGAAGTGTAAAGTGTACATAAACGTATTGTATAAAACGTCCTGGCTTCTGTACTTTCTTTGACATGTGCGCTGGCTGTAGTAAACTGTTGATTTGTCGATTGTTCTACAGCAGACCTTTGAGTCTGCAGACTGTGAAGGCAGATACGTTTCAAGACATCCTGATCAGTCTTTGTTTTTTGTGAACCTTTAAAAGATTATGGAAAGATTTTCATTAAAGGAAATGATCAGAAGTGGAGGATCGCCCAATCCAGAAGTGATCTGGATCCAGGAATCTTTGGAAGGATTCTTTACAAATGTAAGAAAAGACTAAATTGGTCTTTACAAATACGTATCCGACTGAGTTAGTATTAATGTTGTCGAGAAAGCATCTCTTTCTGGATCCTGGGAATCAGTTAATGGGTGGTTTTAGCTTTAGCAAGAGTATGGAAGTGCTTACAACCTCAAAAGGTTTTATTTCAGAAACAGAGTAGAAAGTAGAAATCTTTCTATATTTACAGCTTATTTTGAATTGTTACACTATAAATGTTGTGGTTTGTAGTGAGCTTCACATTTTATTATAGCTGGAACCAACCAGTAGAGAATTTCAGGGGTAAATGTTTGATGGGGGTTCAAAATTTAGGAATATTCAAAATTGAGAATATTTGGGGTCTTGTAGATGTGTGTGTACATACCCAGCAACTCCATTAACCTGCGAAGAGAGCTCATGGATTGTTTCCAGCTTACTGTAAAGACGACCCAGGACTACACACCACCATCTGCTGTGATGCTGCTCTGCTACAGGTGCTGTAGACAGCTCAGAAGATCATAAACAATGGCGTGGAAGTCATTCTGCTGGACAAATTGTGTGATAACAAATTAAAAAGTGTTCTGCTTATTATGTTCTGTTTAAATTTAAAACAAAAACACAGAACAACATTTGCACTGAATGATGAAGTTCCACAGGGTTCTGTCCTGGGACCAATTCTGATTACTTTATATTTATCCCTAAGGCAGTATTCTTGAGATTTTTTTTATTTATTTTTTTACCTTCCAATATATGGTAGCGTGAGAGTACCGTCCAATGGACATAAAAGTACTCTTCCAGCAATAAGTAGATTCCCAAAAACACTTGCCACGTTTCAACATGGCATGCAGAGTGTCCTTAAAAAAATTAGGAAAGTGAAAAAGTGGATGACCAAAGAAGTGCCGAGACTGAAAAACGAAGCCCAGCTACAGGAGAAAAACGGTATATAAAAGTCCTGACCTGAGAGTTTCATGTGGATCAGTGCATCTTCAGCTCATCTGGCTACTGAAGCATGACAAATTACACAAGAACTGGACTAAAAAGCAGCGACAATGGGTCCGATCAAGATCGCAAATTTGTTGTGTTTAACATTGTCATCAGTACTTATGGAGGAGGTCAAAAGATAGGTATAACAATATCTACAAGCATCTGTAAAACATGCCCGAGGCTCTTTCATGTTCTGGGGCTGCATTTTAGCCAGTAGTGACAATAGTGAAGTCGTGTGGGATCATCTTAACATAGAACAAAAGACAGCCAACATGCAAAGAAGAGCTTCCAATGTCCTCAAAGAAGCCTGGAGAACGATTCCTGAAGACTACTTAAAGAAATTACAAGAGAGCTTGGCTAAGAGTTCAGGCTGTGATGAAGACTGCAAATGTATTTCTTTCTATGTGTCCAGATATTTCAATAAATCACTGCACCTATTTCCCATTTTCCCAGAGAAACATAAAGAAGTGGAGAGTTGCTCAGGGCTTTTGCACAGTTATGTATTTTAAATAAATAAATAGAGCCAATTTAGCTGGGACTGAGGAGGAAGGTTCTTTGTTGTTTATCAGTATAGTCTTTGTAGTACCTTAAACACACACACACACACACAGTCATGTACATTCACATATTTACCCACACACATCCTTCTCACCGCATCCACTAAACCATTAACAGCTGCCGATTGCTACAAAACATACAAATGCGTTTTTCTACAGTTTAAGTCAGCTGGTTTCTCAGATCATTAAACCAACATTTGATCTGTCACAGCACCGAGCTGTGGCTTTCAGTCAGGTGGGACTCGGTGGAGCTTCAATTAATGAATTCATAAAATGTAAGAGAAGAGAAACAATAAACCAAGTGGATTCTTTAAAAAAATAAATAAATAGTTAAATTAAAAAATAATTGTTTTTATGATAAAATACACAATTTCTCGTAAATCTGTGGACTGATTAATCGACTCGATTTGGATTTCTTTCCGGCTGCACTGAAGCTGTAGCTACGTTAGTGATTGCGTCATTATTCTGCGACTACTCACGTGTTGACAACAGAGAAGTGCAGACTGGAAGCAGCTACTGATCAGGTATGTTTCTTTTGGGTCAGTATATGAACAGGGTCGACAGACTCGTCTCGTGGACCTTTAACCGGCGATGTTAATTTTGACCCACGGGTCCGTTTCTGTCACGTGATCTTTTAATTCGGCCTTGAAATGCCGCTTTTCCCTCGTTGTGAGGACACTAACCCTAAGGAAAAAGAAATGTTCTCCAAAGTTTTGCATCAAGGGACAGGAAAGGAGGGGCATCACCTTACACATAAGGTGAAAAAAAATAAGGATGAACCAAAATGTGTCTATCGAGTCAAAACAAGCTTACAATGTAAGGGTAAATGTAAAATCACAATGTAACAGGTGGAAAGCAGTCAGACTGAGACAGAATGTGAAATTGTTACGGATGTCTGGTGGGAAGGAGTTGCTGAGGCTCTAGACCCAATGGTAGGAGATCTATAAGTGCAGATGTGTGTGTGGGCATGCAAAAGTTCATGCTGCCTACAGCCTTAAAGATATTACTACAGTATTTAAGTCAGTGGAGCTGCTGAAGGAGTGTGACGTAAATAATGGAGGGAGTTCTGGACCAGTTGAAGTTTAATGGGCTTCAATTTAATTAAATTAAGTTTTATTTATAAAGAGCCAACTACCATAGCAACAGTCACCTTAACTGACTTTATATTATATGGTAAAGATCCCACAACAATACAGAGAAAACCACAACAATCAGATGACCTCCTTTGAGTAAGCATTTGGCGACTGTGGGAAGGAAAAACTCCCTTTTAACAGGAAGAAGCCTCCAGCAGAACTAGGCTGGGGGAGCGGCATCTGCCATGACAGGTTGGGAGTGGGGCTTGAGAGGAAGACCAAAAAGAATAGAGTTACAGTAATCAGTATGGCAGTACTGTTAGGTGTGAGAGATGAACGGAGGCGATGAATGTTACAAAGTGTGATGTCACTGATGTGTGCTTGAAACGAAAGTGTGCTGTTAAGAACAACACCCAGTTTGGGGAGTGCGACTGTCTGTGCAGTGTCTATTTGTGTCTGTCTACACGTTGGGTGAGTGCCGAGTATTTGGTTGTGTATATGGGGTGGGAATGCACGTTTGTGTCCGCGTGCGCCTGTTCGTCTGTGTCTATATGTCAGGTTGGGTCTTAGACTCCACCTCTCTGGGTACATCTCAGGCCCTCTAAAGTATGGAGGCCTATCTCCCCTCACCACACTCCCTGCCGGTGGCTGATGCCCTCAGACGTTGGTGTGTTGGTGGTCCTTGTCGACTCGGGCTGGGCGCTCATGTATGTACCGGCTCACTCCTGGTGGCCGATTGGTGGGGCCAGGCGCCTGTGGCCCGGCTGGGCTCCTTCCGGGGGTGGGATGCCCTCAGGCCTCTGGCCTCTGGGCCTGAAGCTCGGTCCTCTCTGGCACAGCTGGCTGCCGGCAGAGCCCGCGGGCACGCCACTGCAACCCCCTCTGCTCCATAGCTGCTGGGTGACCTCTCCTTTGGGGCTCTACTCAGCTCTTCCCAGGAGGGTGGCACGGTTCCCCCCCCTTTGGTGGTCCTCCTCGGGTCCTTGTACTCTGGGGCCTCTGTGATATCTGGGGCCTGGATCTCCTCCATACCTGCTTCATGCCCTGGTGGACGGGGCTGTGGCTCCCCACACTCCCTAGCAGATCGTTACATGGAGAAACCTTTGGAATACAAGCATGCTGATCCACACAGGTGTACACACAGGTGTACACACAGGTGTACACAGACGCGGACTACACCTTTCTTGGCTGCTGCCTCAAAGCACATTGTGCGCTGTCTATCTTGCGTGCTGCACAATATCGTTTATTATTTAGTATCTACTGATATCTACTGCAAGCTAGTTTATTGTGATGGTGCTTTTTTTTTTTTTATTATGTTGCTCTTTGTTGTTTGCTTTCTCTTCTGTTTTTTTTCTCCATACAGGTGACCCAGGTGTTTTGTTTCTTTTTCTTTCTTCCCCCCCCTTCTCACCGTCTCTTCTCCCCTTTGGTTTTCTTTCTCTCCCTCTCTTTCTTTCATTCTCTCTCCCTGTCCTATCCCCCAGTCATGTCTGTCCCGTTTGTAGTATGTAAAATAAATACATAATTATAATAAAGGTCAATCAAGTGGACCAATATGGCAAGGCCATGATGATCCACTTGGTAAAATAAATTCGCTTGGCATCTTTCTTGGCCTTAAGACAACAATTCTGATGGCTAAAGATCCAAACGGGACACAAAAAAAAGAAAAGAAAAAAGAACAACACCCAGACTCTTGACCTGTAGTGAGGCAGAAACTGAGGAAAAATTGTTACATTTTTAGACAAAGTGCAGTTTTAACACTGGTTAGTTTGATAAAATTGCAGAGTGCTGTTGGAGAATGAGGATTTGACTTCCTAGAGGCAAACACAGATGGCCCTGGGCACATGAGTGCTGCTAGGTTTGGTAGACAGGTGTCAGCATAACAATGGAAACTAATGTTAACTTTATGGAAGATATGACCAAGAGGAAGTAGAGGAGGATAAATAGCAGAGGGCCCAGGAGAGATCCATGAGGAACATTGTTAATAACTGAAAATGGACGGGACATTTTTGAGTGTGGCCAGAGAGATAGGATTCAAACCAGTTTAAAGGTTTGTCAGTGATTCCAGTAGAAGCTAGTCTGTCCAGAAGGGTGTTATGGGATATAATATCAAATGCTGCACTCAGATCAAGAAGGTTAGTAGTCCGGAGTCAGCTCCTATGAGGTGGTCATTAGAGATTGTAGACACAGTGAGATGCTGAAATAGCCTTTCTCTGGAGTGAATGTTATTTAGATTAAAGCCACATTTGTCTTTGTTTGATTACAACCCTATGAGCAAACAGCTAATACCCCTTTTAAACAGAGGGTCTGAATAGTGGGTGGGTGAGATTTCCTTGCTTACAGAACCAGTAGATACCTGAGATATCCCCCCTCTATGACCTTTCAAATATTCAATAGAAAAAGTGTTTGAAACTGAGTGTTTACAGCGGTCTGCTCAGCTTTGGCTGCTCAGAGATTCCTGAAACATACGCTGACAAATAATCTGCATTGTCCTGCTCCTTCAGCCATGAGCGACAGCGATGACGATGTTCCCACTCTGTCAGCTCACACTCTGGCCGCCCTGCAGGAGTTTTACAAGGAAACGAAGGTTGTTACGGATCACAGCGCTGCACCCACAGACCAGTTTGCTGTGGGAGCCGTGGAGGAGGACTGGGTGAGTTTACGGTGTTTTGTGTTTATTTTTAAGAAGTTCAACTATTAAAACAAGACAAACCATTAATAATCACAAGGATGACCAATTCTAAACCAGATTTGCACGAAAGAGTGAAACAGACCTTTTTATTTGGAGGGTTTAATTCAGCTCATTGTCAGTAAATCGCAGTAATGTGACGGAGTTAATGAAACGTGAATGTCGGTAACAGATGTCTGTCTGTGCATGTCCACCAGCGGATGAGTCAGTTCTGGTACAGCGACGAGACAGCAACACAGTTAGCCGAGGAGGCGGTACGAGAGGCTGGAGAGGGAGGAAGGTAAAACCTCGCACACCCACATGAACACGCTGCCCGGATGTCATTAGCTGTTTTTGATTTAGTGAAACAGGAAAAAAAATACGCTTGAGTTCTGTGACCATGTAGAATCGACGTTTGGTTTTGCTGATTGGCGAGCACTTTGTGCTTTGTGCCTCCTTTCCTCTCAGGATAGCATGCCTGAGCGCGCCCAGCGTGTACCAGAAGCTGAAGCAGGGTGTGGTGGACGGTTCAGATCGGGTGTCTGCCGTGGTGTTGGAGTACGACCGCCGCTTCGCCTCCTACGGAGAGGACTTTGTGTTCTACGACTACAACAAGCCGCTGTCTCTTCCGGACAGCGTGTCTCCTCACAGCTTCGACATTGTCCTCGCTGACCCGCCTTACCTGTCCGAGGAGTGTCTGAGCAAAGTGACCCAAACTATCAAATACCTGAGCAAAGGCAAAGTGCTGCTGTGCACAGGTGAGATCCAAACAAGCTCTGATGATGGCACATAAGTAGTTTCCTCACAGAGAGAAGCCTCTGATCATCGTCTAACAACACAGTCTGTCTGTATGAGTCAAGAATAAATGCTAGCTTCTTTGATGTCACAATGAACGAGCGGCACAAGCTGCTAAAAAAAAACTAGATTAGATGTGAAATTTAGTATTAAACAGTTTTTTTTGGTGTGTTTTTAACATGTGGTGTTTGGGGTGTTTCTCAACAACAGGAGCCATCATGGAGAATCTGGCAAAAGATCTCCTGGATGTAAAAATGTGCAGCTTTTTGCCCAAACACAACAGGAACCTGTCCAATGAGTTCCGCTGTTTTGTCAACTACCCGTCTCGCCTGCTGTCCTGCTGAGGAGCCGGGCGTCCATCAGATCGACGCTTCGTTCCGAGCTCATGGGGGAGGGGCGACATGTGAACCATCTCACATGAAGATCAGCGTTCTCTTCACGAATACACCGAGAATGGAAAAAAATAATCCCAGTGTCTCGCCGTCCTGATGTCTGGGCTTTGGTTTGATGACTGTAAGTTTGTGATTCAGACTGGTTGCGGGAACTTTTGAAGACATGGACTTTATTTCAAGACCAAAGGTTGAACAAAAAGATGATAAGAGGCATTATGGTTCATGTAAGCTTCAGTGTTTTTCATGGTTTATTCATACAAGAGACTGAAAGTTGGGTTAATCACTGTTTTTAAATGCTACACTGCTCGAGTAGCTTTTAAGTAATAAATCTGAAAGTCTAGTCCATCTCAGGTTTTGATACCAATTCAGAGCAGATTACTGTTAGTTATTTAATCTAAATCATGAAAGACTTTTGGTCAGGTCAGCTCTGTGGTGGCAAAATGAGCGAGTAGAAGAAAAGAGTTCACGGGAATACATCACCCCGTTCAGCAAACACCCAGAAGGGTGACGAGTACATCAGCTGTTTAGTATTAAAGAGGCAGCAGGAACAACTTTTAATTTTTCTAAAGAACGTTTATTTTCTAACCGCTCAGAAAGCTCAGCTGTTAAACAATTGGGCTCTACTGGGAAACATACAAGTGTTGTATGTTTGTACAGTTACCCAGATAAGTGAGGTAACAGTCGCAAATATTTGATGTTTGCTGTTATTAAAGTGTCTGAGTAACATGAAGCGTGGGCTTGTTGCTCTGATCACCTGAGAAAGTTGCAGATGTTGTACAGCAGCAGGTGGCAGCATTGATCAGCTCATTCAGAAGTGAGGCCCTCTGTTGTTGTTTGCTTTTGTTTTGAAAGGTCTGGATCACCTAAATAACAACTACCTCCCATTTTTTTTTTACTACAGCTTGTCATGCAGAGGCAAAACTATCTGCGTTACTTGGTATGAGAGTTGCTAAATAAAACATGTGCCTCTGTACTTTTGCCAGAAGCAGACCTTCAGTTTTTATGGTGTAGTATTTGTCAAAGTTTCATTCAGTTTGTTGGAAATCTGAGTGCGTTTGTCCGATACACAGATGGTTGCGTTTTAATTCTGAACTCCAGTTCGAACTCAAAGGTTTGTCTTGTGTCGGTCGATCTGTCTGCTGAAGCTGTACTAAACTTATCTTTTTAAGTGACATTTCCAGGGGCTTCCGTTTCAGACATAATGTTCTAGCACGAGCGAATCAGCTGTAAAAAACAAACAAAAGAAAACTTCTCTGCAGCAGCAGTGCTGCTTCCGTCAAGCTTCCTTTCTTGGAGTAAAGAGCTTCCTGGCTTTAGGCTCTCTCCTCTGCAGGCTCTGGTTGCTCTTCTTCGGCCTCTTCTCCAGCAGCGGCACACAGGTGCATCCCACGGCTATGGAGACGTAGATCTCCGTGTAAGAGTGGCGGCCGCCGACGCAGGAGCCTGTTCTCCTCAGGATGACGGAGGGAGCGTAGACCAGGGTACTGCGATACTGACTGCTCTCCTCGCCGTGCGGTCCGATCAGGCAGCCCTTGCACAGGCAGTAGGCCTCGGGGATGTAGCGGGGATATCTCTTTGGGTCGTATGAGATCCTGAAAATGTATTTAATGATGTTCAATGCACTGGCAGAAACAGCTTGGTACATGAACTGTATATATAAACAAGATATTTTTGTTTTGTACATTTCCCTGGAAAAAAAAAGAACCATGCAAAATTTCTTGTGACAAAATCTGAGCTCTCAGAGAACTTCTACTGATGCCATCCATCCCTTTTCCTAATATATTGGATATTGGATGGAGCCCCAGCTGTTAAAGGGCAGGAGGCCTTACTAGAAAAGCAAATAGACTACAATAGTGTACTTCAAGAAAATTTGGGTGGCTATACCTGCACAAATATAACCTTCAGGGAACACTTAGTTCTTAAGTTCAACACAAGTTTGTAAATAAATCCTGAACAATCAGCAGCATGTTTTGTAGGCTGAAGAACTAACAGAACTTTGGACACAATAACTAAAAAAGGAATCTTGGAGGAAAATCTGGAGACAAAGGGACAAACGGAACTAAATGCACTAAATGCCTGTAAGACGTTTACAGAATGACTGCTGTAACAGGATAACAACACAGTTTACGCTTCCCGAGGGTCTAGAAGCAGAAGGTTTGGCCAGCATTCGTCCCAGAGCAGAGCGTGGAAGATGGCCCAAGAATTTCCCAGAGCTAGAAGCCTTCTGCGGGAACAAATAAATGCTCCAAACAAGAACTGAAAGGCTCAACTGCTACGCAAAGTGTTTCATAGAGCAGCTGTCATTTTGCCAAAGGTGGTGTTAATGCTTTGGCAGAAGAGATCATTGTCTCTCTTCTTTGCAGATGGTATTAATAAAGCAGTCTGGCTCAGATATTTAAGAAAATGTTACCGTTGACTTGATCCATTTACTATCACAGCTGTCATGGTGAAAGAGACTGGATTGGTCACTATTCACACCTCACCAATTAACCTAACCCATTTTTAGGCTGTGGGAGGAAGTCGGAGTACCCGGAGAGAGCCCATGCACACCAGAAAATACACTCAACAATCATCAGCTGTTACATGTTTTTCTTTAATAAACCTAGTTTTTCTAAAAGGACAAAATCTGATATATCCAGAAATGTGGGTAGAACTTAAAAGGTTGAATTAAACCTAAGAAACCGTGTGCATTGTTTAGCTGAGCTGCTGCGTTTCTGTCGCTTACATGAGATTAACATAGTACTTCAGCCTGTTTTGATGTTTTCTGCTTTATGTCAAAGTCTGTTCAAAAAGTGTATTTCGTGTATTTGTTTAGCATTAAAGGCAATCAGAAAGTTGCCGGTAGCCGTCATGATGTAGGTACTGTGAAAGCGCAACGCCTTTCAGGACACGTTTCGGGAAACATTTCATTTCACTGCGTGTTGTACTCGTGTAATTATGTATGTGACAAATGAAGAATCTTAAAATATCTAATTTAATTATACCGTGAATCCACGGCTGACAAAGTCTGTTCTGTTATTTAAATATAAAATATGTGAGCACGCACGGGTTTCTTTCTTCCAGTTGTTTCTAAATCATAATACATCCCAATAAATGTTTTTATCGCCGCCTTGTCGCTATTTTAAGCATAGCGGTGTCCAGCAGATATGAAACGTAAATGCGTTACTGGCACCGGATAAGTGTCCCTCTTGCTCTCACCTGTAGGCCCAGGGGGAGATGCTGAGCAGGTTGACCGGGAGGCGGGTCTTGCCGTCGGTCGGGACCCGTGCAGTGGTGGGGCAGGTGAGGTTAAGTTTGTCCTGCGGCTCCAGCTGCAGAGCGTGATGGAAAGCGCTCATTACTCCCACCGAGAGCCGTCCAAAAATCTCCTCCAACTTCTCCTCCGGCATGTCCAGGCAGGACCGCGTCCTGACGGTCTTGTTTCTGACCCGGGTCGCTGCTGCCGGCCGACACAGCGACAGCAGCAGTAGTAGCAGAACGTGGACTCTGTGGGGCATCTCCGCGTTTCTTCTCAGGATGTTGCTGTGCCCAAGTGCGCATCCACCGAAAAACGAACGTTTCCTTTGCGTTCTTAAGTAATGTGTCTGAGAACAAGTGACGTTTGTTCGTAAAAACAGATTTGATCGTTCACGGGTTACTTTCCTCTGTTAAAATCCAGCAAATAGTTGGAAGTGCTGGAAAGCCAGCGGCACGCACACGTTCCACGATCCTGGCGCTGAAGGCGAGGAACAGGCGCGCCACCAGGAAAACTGCAGACATTTTTTGTTTTTTGGCACTACACATCCACGGCGTCGCCAGGAGGAATAATTGCCAAATAATTTGAAATTTTCTAACAGTTTGTGAGTGTCACACCTGCTGCTTTGTGTCCATGACGAGAAGACACCACAGAGGAGTCTCTGGTTCTCATTTCTCCTGCGACGTGTGCGTAAAACCCCGACTGAGCGCTGAGGCGGTCTGATGCAGCAGCCAGAGAGAGGCTCAGTTACACTGAAGCACTGGCAGAAAAAAAAGTCCTGCCTGGACCCCAATAAAAAAAATAAAAAAAAAAGAGCCCAGCGTTTATTAGAGGAGATCCTGATGCGAGTGGGAAGTCCAGCCTGTTGGATGTGGATCCTGGCTTTGCACCATCTCCATCCCTTAGACCAGAGGTGTCAAACATAAGGCCCGGGGGAGGCAGCAAAGACTCCAGTCCGGCCCACTGCTTTAGTAAATGTGACGGAGAGCTTACATTTCTGGACTTTTATATGTGTTTTCATAAGTTTTTTCATTATTGACTGTAAACTGAGATTTCTGTTTTTGTCACAATAAAAGAACATTTCCCGCGAGTTTAGTTTATAATTACAGGAAAGCCTGTCCAAGGAGCTGATTTTTTTCTTCTGTAATTTTACACATTTCTTACAGTTTAAGCCCAAACAGTCTGTCAGCATGACTGTTCTTTTATTTACTACAGCAGCTTTTGTTTACCGTGTGGAAAGACTGAGACAGACTGCTGGAACTGAACTTCTTTTTCTTGTAATCGGGGATTAAAAGTGTCGTTAAACTTCTTTACACTGACAAAAAGGGGAGTTCCACTGGTCCGGCCCACTTAAGATCAATGTGGGCTGCATGTGGTCCACAGTATAAAATAAGTTTGACATTCCTGCTTTAGATAACATGCAAATAGCTACGTAACAACGCTGCTAATGTCAGCTCTAGTTTTACCCATGCACTTTGTTTTAAAGTTTTAACAAACTGTCACATTGATACTCAGACTCAACATTATTTCCTTAATGAAATAGTTTCTCTTTTAATGATACAATAAAAGACATAAAGATGAAGAAATAAAAAAATAATAAATACAATAGAATAATTACAAAATGCAGAACATGAAACAGAATCTGGAACAGATGAATCACAAACCTTTGCCTTTAAAAGCATCAGAACGGTGAAATGTTTTCCAATTTTTAGCAATGAGCTCAAAGCTACAGGGTAATAGTATGGTATGGAATAGTATGTCCTTTTCTTTGAAACCCCGTGTGCTGGACTTAAGAGCCAGAACAAAGCTGTCTGAGGTGTCTCACACTGTCATGTAACCAGCATTCCTATCACGTACAGAGGCATTCATTTCCCACACGGACATTTAGAAATGGATACATTTTCATTTGACGAAGGACTGAGATGTCAGGTAAAGATGTTCAGTGTGAAAGAGCATCTGGACCATCATGGATTACCAACAGATGTAAATAAACATCTGCTGAACGTGAGTTTAAAACGTCCTGTGGTGAAGCTTGACTTACAAACAGAGATAGCCTTGTGCTAATGCAGCTACTCTGGCAGCAGGTCGTCTCCTAGCTCTTCATCTGCAAAGTCGTCATCCTCCACACGCTTCTTGACTCCCGTCTTTGGTCTGTCCATCTGAGGCCCCAGTGGGTCCACGTAAGACGCATCTACACACAGGAGGAACAGCTTGTGATGAAATAGTTTGGGACGCTGTATCCCGATAGAGACATAATGTCAACATTGTACATCCTTTCTACCAATGCCGTTCTTTTTCTGTGTGTGTTTTTCTCAAGGAGCGCTGCAGAGTGAGATCGTGTGCACAGACAATTTCACTGCATTTTTTGGCATTCTAAATAGATGAGTTAAGATAACTTTCAACATTTAAGTCTGCACAGGTTCATATTTTAAAAACACTGATATAAATATTACTCTGTTCCATTTTTAAACAGCTGCAATGAATTGCATTTAAGGATACATTATTCAAGTTGTTCTTTTCCCTTATACTCAGTGACCCTGCTCTGTTCGTGGTGTGTCACTGCTTGGCTGAGTTGCTGCGGTTGCTAAACTGACTTGTTGCAATGGTGGCATCCTATTACAGTGAGCGCTTTAGAACGTCTCATTCATGCACAAATGTTTGAACAGGCAGGCTGCACGGCCAGGTGCTAGATTTTATACATCTGAGGCAAAGGGACTTACAACACCTGAATTCAAAGATTAGAGGTGCGGCCCAATACTTAAATGACAACCCATGCAGTTTATCTGCAGAGGACTATCCGCTGTGTGCTGCAGACAAAGAAAAACCTTTGATAATATCTTTATGATCATCTAAACCTCAGAATGTGTTTCAACATGGGCTTGAACTCTAAATAGATACACGAATACAGCTCTTTTCTACTTTACTGGACCATTCAAAGACCTTTATAGAATTCAGTCACCCATTCACACAAGCACTTTTTTCTATGCCTGAGTGCTTTTCGATCTTTTCCAATCTAACATTCACACTACAGCTCACTGCGACTCATAATGTGGATGGCTAAATTATCAGAATTTCAGCCATCCATGTAGATGATGTTCCAGCACTAAATGAAATGAAACTGAACTAAGATGTCCATAAACCATCTGTGTGGTTATATATTTACTCATATTTTTCTAAAACAGGCACGTATGTCTTGCACAACACATGAAGTTCAAAGACATAAGATAGTTAGGTAGGTGTTATATCATTAACTGCAGAGAAAAATATGGTTTCCTCACCCAGTTCTTTTGGACTGCTGGCTTCATAAGGTTCATTTGAACCAGGAAGTGACCTCATTTTGGCGCTCAGACGCTCTCCTTTGGTGCTGCTGCTGCTGCGACCACTGTCTGTACAAAAACAAGCACACACCTGCTGACTCATGATCTTTTTAAAAAGCAATACTCACATTCAAAATCCTATTAAAAGCTGTTTAAATGTTTAAGCTGTTTAAAACAGCAGTGCCTCTGTCTGTGGCCTGCATGCGACTGAATATAGACGTGCAAAGTTTTCTTGCACACTTTCACGTACAAAATGTCTTTTTCATGGCCCAAGTATCTCGCTGACATTGGCTGAATGTGTGCAGAAAAAGCATTCCTCCAATGTGAAATCACAGTCACTAAATATCACTGACATGTACGACTTGCTGTACAATAATGGACGATTTTTGTGAAAACATGGCGCGGTCGAACATGCCTACTGACCAGCTGCTAAAATGCAACACTAATATGCAACACACTCAGGTACTTTTGACAGGATGTAATGAATATGCTGGATAATGTGCACATGTGTGTTCCAGGCTTATATGACAGGCTGACAGGGGCGTGTAGTGATATGAATTACAGACATGACTGCAGACAGCAGCAGCCAACATCTGGCTGCCAGGTAGCCTTGGAAACCTTAGGGGATCGGCAGCAGAAAGCTGAAAAACAGGAAGGAGGCCTGATATTCCACCTTCCCCTCATAGTCCCAAAAAAATCTCAAACTGCTGGCAAACTGAGACCTCGGTTGGAAAAATCAACGTTTCCCCCCTGCCTTCCTTTCTTGGACAGTTTCGTTTGCATTTCTCTTTTAGTTTACACAACACATGCTAGAAGCTAGGAGCTGCAACAGAAGTTTCCACAATTAAAGACGTTATAGGCTTGTTTTATACACCTCTGAAACACAAATAACCCTTTATTTTTGCAAGGAGATGGAGATCAATAGAGATGACGCAACTTTCTGGCTTTTAACTATTTTTTCTTATTAAAGATATGTTGAAAAAAAGTTCAGGTACATTAACCCAACCATATCATTTACGTTTGAAAAGGCACATCACACATGATAGAAAACACAGGTTAGAAAATCCCCACGTTTCGACACACTTCTCTCCTGTTCTGCCACTGCGTTTCACCAGATTCAGACTGCAGAACGACAGCTGTGGAAACGTGAGAAAACAAACCACCAGACTCACACGTCAGTCACGAGAGAGCTGAAGACCTGCAGACACACGAGACCACACAATACGCAGACTTTACAGAAAAGATGGAAAACTCTCAGGTGAACGAGAGGGTTTTCCCCGAATATCTCGGAGCCGTCTGAGTGCTCGCTCCCCTCCTCCTCCTCCTTTCAGTGCAAAAAATGAGCACAGTCCAACATCACGGCTGCCTGTCAAACGATTTCTGGATCAGGTCCATTTTTTCTTCTTCACTTGGGAAACTCACTTCTGCTATGCATGCCTTGCAGTGCTTCACTCAGATGGTTTTAATCACTTAAAAGATTTCTAATGACAGGAGCTCTTATAAAATTAAAAATAAAATAGGTCTGATGCTAATGCTCCGTAGAAGAGAATCACCTGTATGTGCAGACACCTTTGCCTGACTGAAGAACTTTATCAGAGGTCATCTTAAGATTTCACAGCAGAGACTCACAGTACAAACCTAAACATGCTGTTGCTGCTACACAGCTTCCCTTAGTCTAATTTATGTGAATTTTGCTGTTTTGGCTCTTAAAGCTCATTGGCAGGTGAGCTGACTGTGCATTTGAGGGCAAACTACAGATGTAACAACTTCTGAAACATCTCTACTCTATCTCTACTTTTAAGATTAGGCTTAAAATGTTCATTTTTGCTAAAGCATATAGTTAGGGCTGGATCAGGTGACCCTGAATCCTCCCTTAGTTACGCTGCAATAGGTGTAGGCTGCTAGGGGATTCCCATGATGCATTGGGTATTTCTTCTTCAGTCACCTTTCTCACTCATTATGTGTTACTGGACCTCTCTGCACTGAATCATACTTGTTATTAATCTCTGGCTCACAGATGGCCCCGCCCCTCCCTGAGCCTGGTTCTACTGGAGGTTTCTTCCTGTTAAAAGGGAGTTTTTCCTTCCCACTGTTGCCAAAGTGCTTGCTCATAGGGGGTCATATGATTGTTGGGTTTTTCTCTGTTTGTATTATTGTACGATCTACCGTACAATATAAAGCGCCTTGAGGTGACTGTTGTTGTGATTTGGCACTAGATAAATAAAATTGAATTGAATTGAATGAACTGAGCAAAGAAACAAGCCCCAGTTTATTCAACTACAAATGGCCAGAATTACAGGCACATAGCCTGAAAGTCACAGTCTTACATACCTCTCCCCGAGTCCAGTAGTGGACTGAAGTGTTTAGACTCAGACTGAGATACTGGGAAGCAAAGAGGAAGCAGAGAGGGAATACAGATGAAGACAGAAGATCCAGAGAAGAAGATGAGAAGGAAGGAGAGATTACAGAGCTAGACTGAAGGTCTTACAGCACAGAGAGTAGCAAAAAAGTCTGCCACTTGCAATGAAAGATGATGACAATAAATGTGTCTGTGGTTTACAACCTCGCTTCTCTCACCTGCTTTGACCTCATCTTGTGCACCATGAGAAAATGAGAAAAGGATCTGGGTTTTAGTTCAACAATTTAAACGTTCAAACCAATATTTAAGCATCTGAAAGACTGAAGTAGCAAGGCTGTGATGGACAGTCTCCAGCAACCGTGTGTGTTCATTTTAACAGATGCATTTGGAGGCTCTGGCACCACTAAGCTATGGGAAGATGAAAAGTCCTAATCTAATTTATCACGACACAGAGGACTAATGGAAGCCTTGGCGGGAGAGAGCAGCAAGCGCATTAACAGGTGTCCGTTACACAAACTCATATATGAATACAACTCGACTACAGGAGCCTGCTAGAGACGTTCAGCTGCACAGCATGGAAAAGCTGGGCCTTGTTACACTTTCTGGAGGCTCTCTGGTTTGTATGGATTACATTTGAAATTTGCTCATGGTCCAGCTTTCCAGTGCCACAGCCAGCCTATTTGTCTGTATTTGATGGGGATCTGTACTGAATGTTCAGCCTCTTCAGAGTCCACTAATCCCACAGAGTGCTCAGACCTCCTCATCCTGCAGGATCCAGCAGGATGAGGAGGTCTGAGCAGATCAGGCCTCAGTGTGGTGTTTGAAAACATATACCCATAACGCTGGACTTCTTAGGAGAGATGAGGACAGGTGTGGAGATGCCTGCTGCAGCATGTGTGAACAACAGGTAGAGAGACAGAAAGAAGCAGTGAGACATAAAAATAAAAGAGTGGATCTGATGATCAAAATCATGACGACGATCGTCGTTATAGAAGAGGCATCAGAACCATTACAATGTTTTATGAAAATTATATTTATGTGAGCAAACTTCTCAAACTAAAATCTTGGTTTAGCTCAAGCTGCCATGAAAAAAACCTACGCCTAATAAAGTTCACAGATGTTCCTGTACTGTATGTTCATTTAACTTGAAATTACACCAAAACCCACACATGGAGATGGTTTTCAATGTGACTCTAATAAGATTTTTATAGATGTGCCTCATTCTGGGAGCTCAGTGTGCCTTTTGTGTTGCAGTACAACACAAAACAAGTGTAAGTTTAAATCCTTAATGATGTAAGGTCTGAGCAGAGAGAACGTGGATAGAGGACATGGAGAGCACAGTCTGTGGACAGATGCCACAGACAGATGTGTGGCTCTCTGTCTCTCTGCTGGCTGATTTGGGGGATCCACAGTTGTTTGATGCCACATCACCAGCACAGTTACATACTTATTGACATCTGCATTATTAACACCGCAACACAGATACAATGGGGGAAAGTAACTATCTATCTGTTTCCATGGAGACACAGAATGTCAACAAAATCCAAAAATCCACAAAAAACCCCAACATTATATAAAAGTTATAAATTGATTTGCATGTCACTGACTTAAACAAGTATTTGATCCTCAAGCATAACACCTACTAAGTACTTGATGGTGAAACCCTTGCCTTGGCGATACGTTGTGGGTCATTGTCATGCTGGAAGATCCATCCATGACTCATCTTCAGTGCTCTGGCTGAGGGGAGGAGGTTCTCATCCAAGATTTTACGGTACACTGGCCCCTCAGTGCAGTGAAGTTGTCCTGTGCTCTTAGCAGAAAAACAGCCCAAAGCACAATGTGTGCTTGACTGTGGGGATGATGTTCTTTGAGTCATACCCAGCATTACATTTCCTCCAAACACAGAGGGTTGAGTTGATGCTAAAGAGCTTGATTTTGGTTTCATCTAACGACAGCACTTTTCCCCAACATGATTTAGATGTTCACTGGCAAACTCAAGACTGGCCTGCACAGCCTTCTTGAGCAAAACGACCTTCTTGAGCGCTGCAAGATTTCAGTTCATTACAACACAGCGTGTTACTAATGGTGTTCTTGGAGACTGCGGTCTCGACTGCCTTCAGATCGTTAACAAGCTCCTCCCATGTAATATTGGGGTAATCCACCGCCTCATCACCATCCTCACTCCATGAGGCAACATCTTGCATGGAGCTGCAGACTGAGGATGACTGATGGTTATTTTATGTTTTTTCCATTTCCAAATAATCACACCAGCAGCTTTATAAGCTACGGTCATGTAGCTCATTCCAGTCTTGTGCAGGTCTGCAATTTTGTCCCTGACAACCTCTGACAGCTCTCTGGCCTCAGCCATGGTGGTGGTGGTGAGGCTGGAATGGAAGAAGCTGATTCTGTGGACAGGTGTGCTTTATACACAAACTGAGCTCAGGAGTATTTGTAATTGACTGATCCCAATCTGTGAGAGACAGAATTCTGTTGCAGTTGTAGGGATCAAATATATTTCTACTCAGTAACATGCAAATTAATTTATAACTTTTATACAAGTTTTTTTTTCTTGAACTCTGGTTGATATTCTCTCTCTTTCCATTAAACTACCATAAAAATTAGAGACCGTTAATATCTTTCTAAAGTAAGCAATGGAGATCGAATAATTATTTACACCACTATAGGTTGATGATGTGTGGATGCACAACTCTGGACTCAGTTGCAAATAACAGCGGCGGTAATCTGTTGACCTAATTTGAAAAACAACAACTGACTCACCAGCGCTGCCTGCACTGCTCTCTCTGCCTTCTCTTCGACTTCTCGCGCTGCCTTCCCGTCCCGATTTTATCCTCTGCAAAGGGAAATAAGAGAAAAGGGTGGCGTATGAGAGAAATTGCGGGCAGGGACACAAATAACACTAAATGTGTTCTAAATGTCTTTGACTTCAAAACGCAGTTTTGCCAATCAGATTACAGCGCTTCAATAAACACTGTGCTTCATAAACAAAGTACATTTTTTTGCTATGAAAACAATCTGGCAAAAAGATAAGCCCCAATATTCAACGGAATGTGACATTAATGCGCAAAAAATATTACATACCATAAAAATGTTACATGTAAACAAGCCTTACATAAAGTCAGGGGAGTACTCTGCAGAATCACTAAAACCATAAGCAGTTAGTTTTAAAGATGATGACAAAAAAGGAAAAGAAATGAAAACAAGGATATATGATGCCACGAAAAACAACCACACAAAGCCAACGTCGAGCTCATATATTAGATTTCGGTTATTGCTATCCTCTCAGTCCTCGTGTCATGCACCGTGCAGTTTGTTTTATCAGTGGGATCGGTTGTTTTCCACTGTTTTTCAGTTTGAAGAATTTGGGGATTAACGAGTCAACCCTCCATCATTCTCTGCAGGCCTGTTTCTCTGCTCCAACAGCAGCTGGTTGTTATTTGACGAACTCATCGGTCTAATCTGTTCCTGGCTTTGATATATCACTCCACACGACCAAGGCACACGGCTCTGTTACTCTGGCTTTCTTCAAATCTTCACTGATCCCAAACCACCTCTAGTTTATGTATCACAAGTGTGTTGTTTAGAAGCCATTAAATAATAATTACATATAAGGAACAATGCATTGCAGAAGTTATTCAAAAGATGCAGTGTTAGCTGATTATTTTCTTACTCAGCTATTATTCATAATAAACAGGATATGAGAACATTCCCGTGATCAGAGTCTTGGAGTACTGCATTGGTAAAACACCTAAAAATATTTTTCTTCACAGACAAATGTGCGAAAGGTCCCATTCTGTGTTATTTGTAATCTTCATCATCAGCAGTGCGCTTAAACCCAGAAATTAAGAACAATATTAATACAGCATAAGTAAACCAGGATATTCTATTGATCATATGCAAGCAGTGGGATAAGATCCAATTAGAAACAAGCAACATTGTTGGCCTATGTAATGTGGTTCCATGACTTGGGTCTTGAGTTAATCTAGGTTTAGATTGGGAAAGAAAACACAGGCTTTATGCTAACCATCACAGAAAATGAGATTGATCCCTTTGGCTGCTTATATTCAAACCACTGACCACTTTTCTAATTCATTCTGACGTTTCATGTGACACTGAACAACTCAAACTGCTCTGGCATCAGACCTGAGAACAGCTCTCCAAACACTAAAGCTGTTTTGAAAAAGACCCGAGATTACTATCAGCCAGGTGTTAAACAGCTGTACAGCATCTGTTTGATTCATGGAAAATAAATAGAGACGAAAAACAGCTGTTTTTCATGCAGCTGCAGAGTTGCAGTGACCACGGTCCAACGTTGCATCTAAAGGAAACGCGCGTGTTTTAAATCAGCGAGCGCTCATCCAGGAACAGACGTCAGGGTTCTGTTAAAAAAAGTGATGAAAAGATGATTGATGAAAGTGCCCGAAAGGTCTCTAATGTACAACTGCAAAATACGCAAGTAATTCATCAGGCAGCATGTTAACATGCATCAGATGGACCCACTTATACAAAACAAAGTGGAGTGTGTGGAGTTTAATTCATGCAAATAGATCTCGGATGTTGTTCCTGGGATCTGCTGGAGCCTACCTTGGGGGTCACTGCACCGAGCGCTCCGATTACCACTCGGACCACTTATTATGAGCCCTTGGTACTTCTCCAGCTTCTCATGTTCCTTCTTCCTGATGTTGTTGTCAATCTGTATAGCTACATCTATCACTACGGCTGTCTTCTTCTTCTTGTCTACCACCACTATGTCCCACAGGATCTTAGCTCAGTCATTCTCCACCACCCTGAGGGGGCATACTTGGCACATATGTTTCTGTATACTATGCCGGCCACTTGGTTATGGCGTTCCATGTATGCCCTGCCTGCTAGCATCTTCCACCCTGCTGTTATGTGCTGGATTGTCTCAGGGGCATCTTTACACAGCCTGCACCTGGGGTCTTGCCTGGTGTGATAGACCCCAGCCTCGATGGATCTATATGTTATAAATATGTGTGTGTGTCACCATTATTAAAAATCAATTCCATTTTATTTCTATCTTTGTTAGTGAACTTTTTGTGGGGGGGTTTCTGCAAATTATTTTCAAGTCTTTTTTTTATTAAATGTAGAATTGAGATCTGCCAAACAGATCATTAGTTTATTTACTCAGAAATGTCTGACAGAATACCTGCTCTCTGATTTCCTTCATCTTCTCTACCTTCTTCAGTTTGGTGGCGTAGTCTTGGGCTTCCTTCAATTGCATATCTGTGCACAGCCGCACCAGGAAACGCAAGCCTGCACCAAACAACACACACACACACTCTTTAATTTTACACTCTGATCAGGGCACCATCTGTTGCTGGTCAAGAGTTCCGTTGAAAACTGCGTAACAAGCTGGATCAATTACATTCCACATTTTCTGGAAACTTTCGGTGGATTTCTTTATAAGTTTCCAGTGCTTTCTGGGAGTTTCCTGTGAAAGAGGAAAAGAAAAAGAACAAAAAAATGAAATGAACTCTGCTAGCTCACATTGCAACTTTGCTTTGTTGTTTTATTGCCATGCAAGCTGAGGCGAAACGTGTTTTTCTCACCACTTCGTCTGTAGCAGCTTGCCACCATTAGCTGCCACTTCACCTGAGTTGGTCTGAGGAGCAGAAACACATCTGATCAATATAAACACACAAACCAACACCTGACTTAAATCATTTTGCTGACCTCATATCAGTATGCCAGTACCACACTGAAATAGTTAATATATTTTAATAATTGATACCACGTAACAAAAAAGGTGGAACTATGTGCCTCAAGATTAGAGAATGTGAAACAACTTCACTAATTTTTTCTGCAACAGTTCCATATAAAACGAGAGGCTTTCACATTCATTTAAGTTTGAAACTCATTTAAAGGGCTTCCATAAAAACCTTAGAGTGTGAACTTACAATTTTTTACCAACCCATCCGTGCTATCTGTTTAAAATAATCTAAATAGTAGTTACTTACTGTATTAGCGTGGCTCTTTCAAAGTACTGAATGGCTTTCTCACAGAACTGTGTCTCAATGTAGTAAGCTCCGAGCCACTCAATCACATGGATGTTGGAGGGAAAGTACCTAAAGGACTGGACAGCAACAACGTAACAACATTAGTTAGCTTAAAGTAGTGGTGTCAAAAGTAGGGGCTGGGGGCCAGGATCAGGACAGCAGAGGGTCCAATCCGGCCTGTGTTTAGATAATGTGAAGAAGGGCATAAATCTTTTACTTTTATCTGCACTTTGAGAAGTTTTACAGCCTTTTGTACTGCTAAATATCTCCATCATGGTCATTCATACTACTCTAACATAATTAACTAACAGATGAGCAAAAAAGTGACAAAAAAAACAAACAATTTTTTCATTGTACAAATTGCTGTTTTTTACAATGGGTCCACAGACAAAAAATATACTGTTAACTTCTGTACAGTGTAATTTAGAGAGAAAACCCCCCGCCATGAAATTAAGCTTCTGGTACCTCATAATAGTACTGGAAAGCCTGGGATTTGTCCCCCTCGCCATCATGCAGTTCTCCCAGCTTAGCCAGTGCCTGGGCGTCTGTGGGAGTTACACTGATGACCTGCATTAGCCACTCGATTGCTTGTTCGGGATTTTCTAGAAGCTCATAGCTGGGATCAAAGTGTTAAGAACTAATAGATGCTCATGTGATGATATATGGACAAACAGGCTCGAATCCCTGAATGAACACATTCCAACAAACCCTAAAGTACATACGAGTAAAAACAGATCATCTGTGTGACATACAAACGATCACTAGAGCCTGTCTGACACAGTATTTTTAAGACTATATCAGACTATATACTGATATTTGGAGATTTAGAACTCAGATATTCCAATATATCGTCTAAAAATGTTTTCTTTCACACACAGCAAAGAAACCAAACAGATTTATGTTTAGGAGTAAAGGCTGCCTTACTCTGCTCAGATCAGCTGGTTTTTGTGTTTGTGTCTTTTTAAATATGTTGTTGGCAACAGGGGCATCGTATGGTGCCCCCTGGTGAACAAACTATGCAACATCAATGGACTTTGACACTTTGTAATGGCATTTCTCTCACGTCTTCTTTACTTCTCTAATTTTCATTGATTGTCTCTTACAAATGCCGATAACAATAGAAGAACAAATAGCTAATATTGGGCGATTGTACTGGCCCGCTGATAAAACCATCTCCACATAGCACTTGTTAGCAGTGGGATACAGGCTGGCCAGCTGGTACATGACTTGGGAACTGTTCCTCAGAATGGCATGGAGCTTCAGGAAGCAGTCCAGAGCCTCCTCTAGGCGATTCAGTCTTTGATAAGTCAGACCTGGAACAAGGTTTAGGGGAAAATTCAGTCGCGTAACTGTGCCTCTATGTTAATAATAATCACACATATATACCACATGTTGGTGTAGTTTTATTCCAGCGATACCTTTTACTTAAGATGACTTTAAAATTTGGATGCTGTTGTTTAAAGAGCTACCGTGTCTGTGAATACGATAGCTCCAAAGGTTTTAAATGAATTCTGAGAAAACTTTGTATAGGTGTAGAGTCGGGTCATATTAACAAACCATTTAAATTTCGTTAACATCAACCAAGGTCTTCAAGGTGAACTTAAAGATTTATTGGCTGAAAACAGACCAAAACGCCTGATAAGTTATGTTAACTAATGTTAGCCTGATAACTGAAACTAAGATTCTGACAACTGTGGTGTGTACTGTCAACAGAAAGTACCCATGAAGCTTTCAAATATCATGTCTCATTTGACCTCTGACCTCTCCTTTAAGGTCAATAGCTTGATCTGAAGGTTAAAGTAATAACAGTAGATAGAGGTAATTAAAACTATTTTTCTTACTGCAATTGTTTGTATTAAAAACATTTATAAAATGGTATATGGGAATTTTAAATCTCACATTATAGTTTGCATCCAAATATGTCACATTTGACCTCTGACCTCAATTTTGCATCTGCCTTTCTTTCAAATTGACCCAAAAATGCATGCTATCTTTAAAGAAAGTATTGTCAAGAGAAAGAAAATGAGCTGCCTACTTGGTTAGAAACATGCTGTAGTATATTATTATATAATAAAATAAGGTTATTTGTGTCCACGTATTGATAAATCAATGCCAATTATCCATTACCTACTCCTACATAATCTTTAAACACAAAATACAATACAATTAAAAGTAAATACTTCGCAGAGAGTGAGCTGCCCTGGGGGAGGTTTGTGCTCTAAGTGCTTCTTGTTATTTATGTATTTGTGCACATTCCAATAGAGTCGGTCATGCTGTGTCCACACTTATTCTCAATGTAGCCTCAGCCAATATTCTGATACTCATAGCAGAATGCTGGATGAAGATACACAGAGATTTAGACAGGGCACTTATGGCCTCACTATATTTTCCTAACAGTCAAGAGTCTGAATTTAAAGTTCAACCAGTGCTTGCAGCAAATATTAACAGACCACAGTTCAGAGTGCAGCAAGCTCTTGTTGTTCATTCCCAAATGATTCTTGCACGTCCAATTGTTGTTGCGCAATACATCAAACCTCCTGCTTATCTACTACCGCATTACAGCTGCAGTTAAGGAGCACTTACCCAGGTTGTAAAGGCCTTCGGTGCACGAGGAATCATTCCTCAGTGCTTCTTTGTAGAACTCTGCAGCCTTTTCATAGTCCTGTTTGACAAACACCGTGTTGCCCTTGTTGATAAGTGCTGCTGGGTTGTAACGATCAGCATTCATAGCAAGGTCGGCATATCGATCAGCCTGGTCGTAGTCTTTCTCCTGTTAGGGAAATTACAAGAGAAGAGAATATGGTTGTTCAATCATCTCCCAACAGTAACATTTAGTATTACATTTCTTTAACAGCAAACCTCCAAATATTTTGCTGATTTTAAGTGTTTTAAATTTTCAGAACTTTTCAGTCTAATGTTATTTTATAATCAAGAGATTCTTACCAGAAAATAGAGGAAAGAGAGGTTAGTGGCTGCAGCGCTCTTCACTCTGCTGTCCTTCTTCTCAAATGCCTTCAATGTTTCCACTGCCTGAAAACACACAACTCATTACAATCAGGGTAACACTCTGTACTAAAGCTCCTCCAGTACAGCATTCTCAGTAATAAATGATATTTTAAGTACAAGCGTATTTCCCCAGCATGTAACACACAAAGAAACATAGAAAAGACACATAAATTTACTGAATTGTTAGTCAAAGAATCAACAACAATATTATTAACCATTAATAGCCAATCACTGATAAATTACATATGCATCTTCACATTTATGGTGAAGATACTTGGACATTTTGGCATTTTTTTCTAAGAACATTTGAAGGTAAGCTGTAATTCTGCTTCATTCCTTACATCTGTTTATGCGTCACCTTCACTGTGTGCTGTGCTCTGGTGAAGTAAATATAATGCTTTGCAAGTTTAAAGTCAGTCCCTTTCCCCTTTTTGTCTAACTGACTGTCTCTGTGAGTATGTTACATTCTGGGGAAAATTTCCCAACTGTATTAGTGAGTAAGGATTAGCATTTTCACAAATCACCAGCTTGGCTACAGCTGCACAGATGACCACCAGTTACATCACCAACACTCCTGTGTGTAAATACTGTAAAAGCACCACAGCATGCATCAGATGTAAAACCAGCGGTTACAAGATAGTTAGTTACTACAGTGAGTCCTTTAATCTTAGCCACAAAGCAGCTCCACACATGGCTGCATGTCCTCCACTGTTCAGTTGGATATTATTATTAACAAAGAATACGTTCAGCACAAAGATTTTCCTGAGCAGTCTGTGGGGCCTAAACCAATAACTGCCTCACAAACGTCTCCTTGCAGTGGCATTATTTGGGTAAAAGACGTCCTTATGAAGCAACAAGTTAAGGGGGACAAACCCAGTACAATCTAAATGTGGACATGGGAATGAAAGGCAGACATACCTCAACCTTAGGCATGCAGATGGGGAGGAAACAAAAGCAAAAAGGCAATGAGAAGATGAAATACTCAGTCGGACACTGAGCTCTGTTCAAACAGCCTCAACAAGAGAAAACGCACAAGTATGAATAGTGCTGAGCAACAGTATTACAACATTGTTATAAAAAGAAAAGAAAAAGATGGAAACACAAATTAATGTAAACGGATAACGAAGAACAGGTTTCACATGTTTTAAGGGAATTACACTTCCATAAATTGAATGCGTGTGATCCTTACTTAATCGCATCGACTTTTTCGGTTTGGCAAATATTACCAAAGGTATCAATTTATATGACAGCCACATATGATGGAAGCTACTAAAGCCTCATTTTGATGTCTTATTATGGTCTAAAATTTAGTTTGGCAGCAAATTATTAAGAGTGGAAGGTGTGGTTGTAAAATACACAGACCAGAAAGAAGGAAGTACCCTTAATGCTGCTGATACTCTCACCTGTTTGAAGTCCTTCTGTCTGAGGTAGGTGATGGCTTTGTTGATCTCTAAATCATTGGCAAGCTCGACATACTGAGAACTCTTCACCATGTCGACACACCTTAAAAAAAAAAAAGAAAACATACATTCACTATCTTCACGTGTCAAATGCCAGCATTCGATTGATCACTGTAAACAGCAGGTGCATAAATGGAGAATAATTAAGCAATTGTTTGATTTTGACTTATGTTTCTCAATATTGAAATGGTCCTCTCCAACATACTAATGTGCATTAGTGCACATCAATGCACATGTCGAGTACTTTTACGAGTATTCAACATGTATTATGTTCATTTAAAAACCTAAATAAGAAAGCATTAGGGGAGAGAAATTGTCGAAATAATAGTAGAGCTTGAGGTTTATTGTCAGTCTGCTCCAGAAAAATGTTCAGAAAATGTGATCAAACTAGTGTGCAGAGAAGTTTAGGCAAGTAAAGGAACTTTGGAAAGTCCCTCACACCACCACTAAAGAAACGAGAGCCACTGGAAGACTCAAACAATTAAAACTAGAGCTTTTTTTTTTAAACGTTCAAGCAATGAAGTTTAGCACATTTATGTAATTGTAAATGAACTGTAAATATACCACAGTTAGGCACTGTCACAATTTTCAGTTATTCAATGACAAACAAACATACCATGCTCACATTAAAGTCTTTAGATGCAAAGAAAAAGACAGCAGTAACAAACCAGTCAAATCCAGTAGCAAACAAAGTCTCAATCGCTGGGGCAATGAGCTTGGCTGCTGTCATGATGTATTTCTCAGCCAGGGTTTTTCTATGAACAGCATACAGGAAGTCAGAGGAACAGGTGAATTAAGGGGGGGGGGGGGAGTAACACAGAGGACTGATGGAGCAAGACAGAGTTGGGTTTGTGTTGTGAATATCTTCTTACAGATCTCTCTCCATCTGGTGAAGTTTGTCATTTTTAATGGCTTCAATGACCATATTGGAGCTGGTGTCTTCCTGAAAGAGTTGGCAGAACTAGACTTAATTAATGAAATAATAATAAATGCTGTAATAAAATATCACTCACATTGGAAGGGATGTATTTGTCTTCATCATCAATGCCCAGAGGAACAGAGATGAGCTTCTGAAAGGCCTTCTTCATCCTCTCTCTGTCACCGATAGCATAGTAGCACAGGATAAGGTTGAAGCCTGTCTTGATATTTGGACTCTCGCTCATGATGTGCTCGAAAGACGTAATGGCATCTGTGTACTGGCCCATGCAGATAAACACTACACCGATATTCTGCATGATCTTGATCCTCATTTCTTTGTGGGCATTTGTTATCTGATCCAGCGCCATTCGGTAGAACTTGATGGCTTTAGGATAGTTCTTCTGTTTAAAGTAGATGTTGGCCATGTTGACTTTCAGGCGGCCTGGAACAGCAGCATGCATAGTTTGACGGAAAAACCACAAGACAAGCGATACAACAAAGAATTTACAATGTATGAAACATGACTTTTTTCTTATGTGTCAGTGATCTGGGACTATTTAACACAATGCCACAATTTTCCCAGCAGTAAAAATCCAAGATACTGCAAAAATACACCAAGAGCTACACCTCAGAGTCTACAGGCCTCAGTTATCATGTTAAAGCTCATGAGAGTACAATTAGAAAATGATTGATCTAGTATGGCTTCGATATACGTTTCTACAAGAAGAGCATAGCTTAGATTTGCACTCATTGAGACATCCATGTACGCGTCTTTATACCAAAGTATTGTCGAGTCAAACGTGAGGCCACCTGCAAAGCGTGGGTGTTACTGGGTCATGGGGAGGACAATGATCCCATGAAAACAAGCAGATCTATAACAGAATGACTAAAAAAAGAAAAGAATCAACACGCTGCAATAAACGAGTCAGAGTGCAGACCTCAACATGATTTAAATCCTGTGGTAGGTCCTTAAGAAAGCTGTGGATAAATGAATGCCTGAAACCCTGAAGGAACTGAAGCAATGTTGTAAAGAACAGTGAGCCAATATTCCTCAACAACAACAGGAAACACTGATAAAGTCATTGGGATAAATATTACTTGAAGTTGCTGCTGCTGAAGGTATTCCACAAGCTTTCATGCGGTGTATAAAACTTCGTTTTCACATGATTGTATTTACAAGGGCTGCCACATTCTAAGTACACCAGCAGTGAGTGTGAAGCTGAGCGGCCTGCTCACCTGCGTTACTGAACATTTTATTCTTCACAATGATCTGGTAGCTGTTCAGGGCCTCTGGGTACATTTCATTGTTTGTGTATTGGTTGGCAAGGTTGAGCAAAACCTGTAATGGGAGAAACATTTAATATTTCTAAATAAAATAATTAAAAACTGATGTTAGAAATTGATTCTCAAAAACAAACTTTAAATTGTATCTGTCTTCCGCGAGCTGTTCCTTCCTAAATAGCTGAGCCATGAACACAAACATCTGAGATGATTTACTTTAATATTTTAATATGAAACAATAATAATAATTTACTCTGAATGAGATAAATAAGAACAGATTTTGCATACACTACTGAGAAAGCACTTGTGGTTTATTTCTACAGTTATTGTAGACCAGGAGGATATGGAGCATTTTAAATGAAAAGTACAACTTTGATTTATTTTTGACTGAAAAAAAACCCTCTCTTGCTTATTTTTACTTATCACTTATCAGTTTGGTTTTTCAGGCATTAAAAAGTAGTTTTTTCAAAAGAAAATCAACACCAGACTGTTCTTTTAGAAAGCAAATCATTACTCATGAGTGCAGAGTGTAGAACAAGCATACAGCAGCCTGACTTACAGAGTACGTGAGGTCTAGATTTATATGGTCTGCACTGCCAGACTGTTCCCTCTGTCTGACCAGGGCTCTCTCCTTCCGCCCTGCCTCTTTGGCTTTTTCAAGGGCCTGTAGACACAGACACAGACACACCCACACAAACACACACAGCAAGTAAGCCACTTCTGGGTAATAATCAGAAGTAATTATGAATAAACACTCTGCTGCAATGATGTAACAAGTTTTTCCTGCCCATTAGACATTCTGGTGCCGACCAAAAAGGCCTTGGCCTTCCACAAGATGAAAATTACCTGTAATAACAATATTTTTAAAAACAGCTCTTTTAATTTTTCAGAAATCACAGCAAACCACACACTGCTGTTATGTGACATAACACATTGCCTGTAAAATATTAGACCAATTTTCCTCATGTATGAAAAACCACTGGAAATGGGAAGGTTGATAAACTTCAAGTACTTTGTCCTAACAGCCGTTTTAGGTATTACTCTGGTAGAAATGTAAGCAGTTTTTATACTGCTTACATTTTTATACTACTGTGAGAGAGCTGACACAGTTAAAAATGAATTATGACAAACTGCCCCACTTGGAGAGCCTTCTCTTTAAATCCAGACAGTCAACATTAGTAAAAAGTTTGTTAAAGAGTGAAAGGCTGACCACTTGTAAGGCTCCCATGCTCTGTGCCATGCAGCTCTCCTCTATCAGGTCATTCACTTTCTTCTCCAAGATTTTGATCTTCTCCTCAGGCCTGCAAGAACATGATGAGAGTGAAACATTTGTCAGTTTATAATAGCTGGTAATAAGAGGCCCAAGGTGTGCCAAGAAAATATCCCCCACACCATTACACCACCACTCCCAGCCTGAACCACTGGTGCGAAGAAGGATGGAGAAATGTTTTTGTGTTCCTTATGCCAAATTGTGACCCTACAATCAGAATTTCACAAGCGATGCTTTCTTTCTGTTCTTCTAATCTATTCTATTAGTTTCAGTGACCCTCTAAACTGTAGCCTCAGCTTCCTGTACTACCTAACAGGAGGGTCACATGGCGTGGTCTTCTGCTGATGTAGCCCATCTGCTTTAAGTTTTGATGTGCTGTGCATTCAGCGATGCTCTTCTGCATACCTTGCTTGTAAAGAGTGGTTGTCTGTTACCTTCCTATCATCTCAAAGCAGCATCAGCACGACAATTTCAACTAGAAAATTGCCACTCCCAACAGATCTGCAGTTTTTTAAACACTCAAACTCAAACCAGGCTGTTTCAAGCAAACAGTCATGCCCCGTTCAAAGTCATTTAAATCACATTTCTTTCCCGGATGCAAGGTTTCAACTTCAGCAGGTCATCTTGACCATGTTTATGTGCCTAAATTTACTGAGTTGCTGACATAAGACTGTCAGATTAGATATTTGCATCAAAGAGCAGTTGAACAGGCATACCTAATGAAGTTGCAGAGTGAGTGTACTGCATAGCATTTTCACACTGAAACAAAGCAGTCTAAAGTGATAACTTACGTATCCTCATTCTTTGCTTCGAGTGCAGGTGCAGGACCCCTGGACTGGCCCAGAGGGTCAAAGGCTGAGCCTGAAAATATAAATCATACCAATTCATCACTATATAACTGCAAGGGGAAAGACACAGAACTTGCATCTATAAATATGTCCTTACAGGAATGCACAGAGGTTTATATTAACAAAAAAATGCAATTTTTAAAAAAAATTGTTTTATGTTAGAAACACTCAACTGTACCTATTCCTGAAGTATACAATAATAACTTTTAAATCATTATCGACACGCAAAAGACAATAGATGAAACAGACAACTTTAAACTCACCACGACTCAGGGAGGAGGTGTAACCTGCTGCTTTGACGGCAGTCATTGGACGGGCTGACCCATCCTGGTACATTTGCAAAATAACAAAAAATACATATATAGTAAACACTAATTATAAAAAAAATAATCTAACAAAACTATGCAAGACCTTATTTGCACATTTGATTGTTCAATAATACTTCTCACCTGTACAGCTCCAGTCATGGGTCGTCCCATTGAAGAGGCCATATGAAGCCGAGCCTTTGTGAAACAATAAGTATTAATATTGTAATCAATAACAATAATTTAGGTCTTTTTAACATGTAGATATGAAAAAAACGTTCCACATAAATGCTTCACAGTAATGAAACAATCACCATTGGCTGCACATCTTGTCACTGATCATTGATTTAATCTGAGCAACTTTCAACAAAGAACTGCACTTTGAAGGAGGTATCTGTATTTGTTGTGCTCATTCAAAAATGTTTCACTTTTAAAGGATCATTTTATTTCATTGTACTTACGCCAAAAGAAGAAGCTAAAGATCGAGGTCCAATGGGAGTGCCAGGAAACTTGGCAGTCATCTAGAAAATTAAAGACATGATATATTAGTAGTTAAACGATTTATACACCTCCAGAAAACCCCTCTCTCTCTCCCACTTACTTACTCATTCACTCACACACACACACACGCACACACACGCACACACACACGCACACACACACACACACACACACACACACACACACACACACAGAGTATTTGGCACTTACCGGGGGTCTTCTTCCATGACTTGTCCTCACTGCTTGCTGGAAGCCCACATCATTCTCCAGCTCCTTAAAATTAGTCAACAATTAGTCTTCATTTTTTACATAGTGGGCCGACGGAAGAGCAGACATTTTTTACACAAACAATTTTGAAATAAAACTTTGAAGTAATTAGTCTTTCGCCATGCCACTATCTCGACCTCATATAACCAACATTAATTTTTCAAAGTTGATTTTCTATACGCTTAGAAACAATGTGCTAATATAGTGTTAGGTTAGCGGTTAACTTACCTCCGAGTCAAATGTCGGATTATAATCATTGTAACCCGAATAAAGGTCGTCCTCCTCCACAGCCAGATGCACATGTTCCATTTCTGTTTCTCCGGAAAGGTAGTGTATGAAAATAATCCTCAATGTGTGGCAAACAAACAGTTTTCTATGCGCGATAACTGATAATATTTTGTTGTCCTTTTAGGATTTCGTCCCACAATTCAACGCGGCACGGGCGGGACAGTTTTCCTTTTCAAACCTCTGATTGGTTTTTCACGCGTCCATCATCGTCTGGCCTCAACCTAATTGGTTGAAGTTGCGCTCGTTCGTTGCTAGGATACACTACAACGCTACAACTTATTTCTTCTTCATATTCTCAAAATTATTTTTAAATAATTACATACATAGTATTTATTATTTATAAAAAGTTACAATTAATAGTTTGTGGGTTTCTTTATTGCTCATTTCAAGCAAAACAAGCTTTGTGCGCTCGTTTGCCTTCTTTGGTCCTTCTAGGTCACCGTACACCACGGTCAGCGTGACTGTCAAGGTGGGCGGCGCAACAGAAAGCTTGTAAGTTAAGTTTTAGCTGGTGTCAAAACATTATAACGTTTCTGACATGAAGATTATAACTGTGATTGGCAGGTGAGCGAGATAACAATGTATTTTGCGTTGTAAAATGATGCAACAGTGCTAGCCCTGACCTATATTCGTGAAGGTGAAACGAAAGTTGCTTTGTTGAATGAAAAACTGGTTGAAAGCTGTAGTTTGCAGTATCAGTGCATGTAATTTTATTTGGTGACTGCATTGTGTGCATCATACTGTTGCTCACGACATAAACAGGACTGTTCTGAATGAACGCTTGTCTTGTGTTTTCAGTCAGAATGAATTTGTGAATAATCCTGTTTATCACGACAGCGTGAAGGTTTATAGCTGTGTGATTTTAGAGGCTTTAAATTGAACCTGTCTTCTGAACCCTGTTCATTAAACATGGCAGTGCCTCTGAAGTGACCTCTCTTAAACTTGCAAAGCAAGCACTGAACCTCACAGTTCTTCACTTATGTTGCCATACGTTTTAGGGGGTAATCTTTGTGTGTTAACATTGCAATAATATTCAGATGGATGGCGAAGGGATTGAGAAAACATTCACAGTGGATTTACACTTCACTTCTGGTTACATGTCAAAACATGACAGGAAGACAGGAAAATGAAGCTGGTGTCAGCAAGCAGACAGGCACACTGTCAGCACTTTACTGCTGTGTGATTTTACTGGACTTTACTGAAAAACAACATTCAGCCCGTGCTTTGATTTTGTTTTTTAAGTCTGCTTATTGGGGTTTATGTTTTATGTCTGTTACCATGTGATTTTCTTCCCTAGTGGGCTGATAGGCCGCTCCTGGGCTATGTTGTTTGTCAGTGGAGGCTACAATGTGAAGATCTATGACAACCAACCAGGACAGTCTACCAAGGCCATCACAGAGATCAAGTGAGTTCTACTGCTCAACTTAAAGACCCATCTGGGTTACACAGACAAACTTCTTCAGTCTTAACTGCATTATTATACCTCTATCGTCAACAGAAATTTGTTTTTAACCCAGATGTAATTCTAAGTAAAAACAAAAAAACACATATATATATATATCATCAAAAATATAAAAATATACATTACAGAAGCTAAACTATTGTCTGGTGCCTGCAAAACCTAAAGGAAACATTGACACTAAGGGCTTCTCTGCCCTGATGAGTTAGAGACAGTCTGTCTAAAATGTAACCTGTTCTTCCTTTCAGTGCTTACAGAGAAGACATATATGAATACCCCATGATCAGCAGTTGGCTCCTACTGTGAGCACATACGAATAAACACATGTTCACAGCCTGGCTATTAGTGGTTAAACATTACTGTGGAATGACGCTGAGTTTTTAATGAAAGTGCTGTAGAAAGTCACAGTGCCTTAAGCTATAAAAACCTTAATACCTTAATCTCTATACCAGTATTTCATGAATGTAACTCTCCCTCTAAGTCCATGCCACTACCTATCACTCAGCCCGTTGGAGACGTATTTGTTTATATGAACAGTAGAGGGTGTCATTGAATTAAATTTCAGGGGCCCTTTGTGAGTGATTTCCTGCTGAACAAGCTAGACTGCTCTCTGTTGTGTGCCCTGTTTTCATAAACCGTCACTTAGTCTAAATTACTTTAATTTTTTTTCAAAGGAAGATATCTTCCTGACTCATGTGATACAGTGTTATGTAACTGCCACATTCTGTAACATATTAAGAGAAGAGTTGAGTAAGAGCAAAAAGGTGGTGGTATGTACTCCACACCTTAAAAGTGTCATCACTGTTACTGTTAAGACAGCGTAACAGGATTTGCAGCAGACTACACGCTCTCCTTTGAAACCTGCACCTCATTTTAGGTTGTCAGACCGATCTATAAACCAGAATATTTATTGTTTTATTATTCTTTTCTGCATGAAAGGCCAAAGTGAAAAACATATGCCTCGTTAGAGAAATTTGCACAATACTCCAATACAATGCATACTTTCATACAGTGAGTTGGTGAAGTTGGTGACATACTCTACCCCCACTGAAACTGTGCTGAGTGTCTGAATCTTCTTTGCTGAGATGGAAATGTGTACAGAGCAGACACTTTAGAATCTCTAGCTTCTTTGTAGCAGCATCCATATTTGAAGCATTGTCTGCTTTGTGTTATATTAGAACCACTTCTTTTGGCTGATAATAACACACCTAACACATCTGTTTATTTCTTCCAAAGTCTTCATTCTACTACTACTTATATAATAGGCCTGTGGTAATGATTCTTTTCAAATTGAAAATGTCATGATAGAGGGCAGTTTGTTCATGCATTATGTGTGTGTGTGTGTTAACTGCAGTTTCTGTCCCTCAGGAAACAGCTGGTGGAGCTGGAGGAAGCCCACATGCTGCGAGGGGAGCTGTCTGCTGCGCAGCAACTTGCCCTTCTCAGCAGTTATGATGACCTGTCTCAGGCACTGGATGGAGCCTTCTTTGTGCAGGTAACACAGACCGCTGACAGAACAAATACATGCTGTTATATCTCGTTGGCCCAAATCGTAAAACCAGTGGAAACAACATTGCTCTCTGGTGATTTGTTTATTTTTTCATTAACCACTTGCTCCGTCACACACGTACGGACATTTGTTTTGTGGATGTTGGCAGACTTTGATGAAACACGGGGCTTCTCTTCACTGTGGTGTGGGTCTTTTCAAAAGTATGTGGTGTGCGACTCAGTGGAAACACTGTAGTTTTTGTTCATTTATTGGTTCACATAGTTTAAACAAAGCAGCATTAAAGGAATGGTTACTACACTCTCAGGTCAATACGTTCTGGCTTTGTTATTACACATTTACCCCCCCAAGGAGGGGCAGCATAATTTCATTTGACATATTCCGTGACATTCTCACGTCACATTTTGAACTTAGACTAATATCCCTAATCCCTGTCGTACATAGGGTTGTGATATCATACAGTAATATGGAGATGTTTTGCATAATAACACTTCAGTTCCTTCAGTTGCTTAACACGTGAATTCCAAACTTTTTTGTTTCTCTTCATTTACTAGGATAGCTTCATAGTATATCAGTGGTCAGTACATTACTGGGCAAAAAAACTAATGCATTTACTTGTCCTTATGGGTAAATGTGATTGCATTGTGATTTCAGAGTCACCTGAGATTTGTATACACCACATAAAAATAACTGCATCAACATAAGACACAAAGCACACACTGTATACAGACACCTTTACTCTTCTTCTTGGATCTTAAGGATGACTGTGGCCAGAACAGTTAGGCAACCTGTGTGTTGCTTGTGTTCAGAAGTTTGATGGCTTGGGAAGTAAAAGACAGTTTGGACCTGTTTTATGGGGGAACATTAGCACCATGCAGGTTTTAGTAGTTCAGTGGAGGAGTCAAATCCTCATATCACTCACAGTATTTGCCTTGCTCCATAAATAGTCCCGATAAATGCTTGCTGAGCTTGGTAATGCAGTTCCCGACATCTTACTAGAAATTGTTACTGTCCTTCTAATTGCTTGTTTTTCTGCACCTCAGAAGCATTTTAGAATCCACCTTAAAGGATAAAATGTCCTCAAAAATATGTTCTGTGCTGTCTCTCACTACACAAGCAGTCAGTCCAAGAGTTGCATTTCAGTCTGCCAGCAAACATAACTCCAAGGTACTTGTATTCAGTCGACTTTCCACTAATAAAGGTGGGCAAGGATGATGGTAGATTTTGAAAGTGAGACTGGCTGGCCCTCTCTCAGCATGAAGAACATGGGGCCTCTATATAGAGGCACAGCTAGGAGGAGGAGAAGATGATGATTATGATGGTTGTTATGAGGTCAAGCCCTCTGAGCAGCTACTGTCAGTCCATCAGTGTGTGAACTGATTCTAATGGCAGCATGCACATATAGAGTACATGTCTGTCATAAAGGAGGTAAAACCGAGGTATAAATTTTAACTCTAGGGATGATGAATATAATGAACCTGTCAAAAAATGAGTACTGAGAGTTCACACTAGTTTCTCTCTTTATTCGCGGTTCAGTAGCAAGGAATGTTTTAACGTTTGTTAAGCAACTCGTTTAACCTGATGGCTAAGTGGTTAGAGGACATATCACACACTCTTTCATGCTTTTAGCTACAAATTCATGGTTGGACACCAAGCTGGCTGGTTCTTTGCTGCGTGTCATTTCCCTGCGCTGCTAACTCACACTTTCTGTCTGTCACCAAAGGCAAAGTCATAGAAATATAATGGCTTAATATAATTGCAATAAAGGAATATGAACTGAGTAATATTGATTACTCATTTAAAAATAGCCCAGAATTAATCTGTTATTTATTACAGATTTAGTTGTTTACCTTGAATCAGAGCAGCTTTCTCAATGTGACCATAAGAATTTAGTCATTTGGCCAAAGTAAAATGCTTTCTAAAAACCTTGAACATTTCAGAACTCATACGTTTTATAATCTGTTGAGTTTCCTCTTTCCTCCTGCATTGTTTGTCTTCGTTGCGTCACGATGCTCACCTCAGCCAGTCGAGTCTGATGGCTATGCTCCCTGAGCCTTGCTGTCAAAAAGAGACTTTTGATTTGTTTTTTTTCTTTTGTTCATTTCTGTAAAAATGTTCTTGAAGGAAATTGTTGAGACATCTACCATACAATGCAAAATGCTTCTAGATTCTTGCTGTTATTGCTATTATAAATTGTAAAGTGGAGCTTTCCTTTGACAAGAAAGTCAGATGGAGTTTGTTATAAGAAGTGTTGTCGTACTAATGAAAGACGTTTCATTAAAAATCACTCATCTATGTCAAATTATAAATGAGCACAAACACACAATCAACTGTGCTTATCTAAACACAGTCACAGTCACTTAAAATACAGTATGAAGTCAACCTTTTATGCCAGAAAAATGCTCGCCAGCTAGAAACTGCTAAAGTAGACAATGGAGCTCTTCTTCACAGTAGATGTGATCAGAGTGCACAGAGGCAGGTAGAGTCAAATAAAATCAATACTCACTGCGCTGAGTTCCTTCCAACAAGGAACAATTGTGGACTCAGGAACAGGGAAATGCTGCATAGAAATATGCAGTTTCCCGAGAGCACCGTTAGGTACATACGTCCTGATAGCATGACATCATCTGACCACCTGTAAGTTTCACTCTACTATTGATCTGGGAGAATATTTACGGGAGGCTTTATTAGTCACTTGGCTACAGATCAGTAACTTGCCTAACTGTTTTCTGACGATTAGTGTAAGGCTTGGTGGAGCAGTGGGAGCAGACGTGAAGGGCGCTTAAGCACTTAAGCTGTCCAGATTTCTTTATATGTTCCTTTCATGCACAGAAATAGGTTAGTGTGGCTTGTTTACAATGAAGTTTGGCCAGAACTGAAGAAAACTTGAGCTTTGAGAAAGATGCAGAACTGGAGACAAATGATAATGGGAATAGTCCAACTTACAGATGACTAGAAAGAGCTACTTTTGGCTGCTCCTTATTCCCAAAGGTTTCGTCAGAGGAGGTAGTTCTTCATGTTTGATTTAGCAGATTTTTACAACCAGATGCTATCCTGACACAACGCCACAGGGATTTGTGTCTCTGTCAGGGGTCATACTGGAGGTCTTTTCCACATCAGGAAATGCCAAGTATTCACTTATTGGTGTTTCTTATTAGTATAAGTTAACATTTACACACATGAGCCTGACCTGTCATGAGCGTCCATTCTATTTAAGGAAACTGAGGTTTGAGGCCTGTGCTGTTCCTAGGACTCAACTCTGTTAAAAGACTCTGATGTTGTGCCTGGAATCACTCTTTCAGTTTGGGGGTTACAGCTCCCAACTCCTGTTGCCACTGGGACCACTTTGGACTTTAACAACTAAACTAAACTAAAAAAACAAACTAAAAAAAATAATATTGTCATTAGAATTAGTGTAGATTAGGTTATTGCTTGTGTTTTAGCACAAATCCTTTTAGCAGAGCCTTTCATTATAATGCGTATATGTGAGGTATACTGAGGTTGTTCAGCCAGTTTTTGCAGTTTTGCGTCCAGGATGAGAAAGATTGCAAATGAAGAGTACCGATTTTGAGAGTCACACCTTTTCATCACTGTGAAGTGACGTTAAGCAGTAGTTTAAGAGCCAAACTGGTTTAATTTCCGTGTTTAAGGTGTTAACTGCATGACTTTTAACACATTTCCCTGAGTACATTCCCCAAAGCTGTGGACAGTGGTAGATTCAAGTTAACACTAAGAAACAAATATTAAATGTTTCTTTATTGTTATGATGGTTTTGTCTTTGCTATTGTCAAAGAAAGGTTGACATCAGAAATTACAGAGTCAAAGCAGCAGTTCATCCAAATTATAGAAATTAATAGCTGTAATAAATAATTTGATTGTTGCTATGACTACATGTTCCATATTCAGTGGGATGCTTCACTGACTTTGGGTTGAGATAATGTTTACTTATAGCATTATAGAAAATAATATTTGGCTTTCACACCTTACCTGCGTTTATGTATTTTTTTGTTTTCCCAGGAATGTGTATTTGAGCAGCTGGAGGTAAAGCAAAGCATCTTCCATGACATGGAGCGTTTTGTGGGAAAAGACGTCATCCTGAGCAGCTCCACGTCCTGCCTAGTGCCCAGCAAAGTCTTTTCTAAAGTCCAGAATAGGAGTCGCTGCCTCGTCTCTCATCCGGTTAGTACTTCATATGCTCAGGCATTTCCAGGTACTGTGGTGTAAACTGTACACAGTGTGTTAACCTGCACGCCAGCCATAATTCATCATCAGTCATCTACAGCCAGGTCTGTAAGTTTCCTCACAGTGATATGGTGCACAAACTCAGTGAGCTTGAAATGAAGCAATTAAAATGCGGTTAAGGTGTTGATATTGACCAAAAAAATTGCATTAATCATTAAGAATTACATACTTATTTTGTAATCCCTCCATTTTTACAGGCTCAAAAGTAATTGAGTGTGTAAATCATGAGCCCATTCATTGGCACGTGACTTGTTTTATGATTATGTTATGACAAATTAAGGAGATAAAAGGAATAGAGTTGAGTCCAAGTGTTGAATGAGTATGTGGTTGATGCTCAGTGGTGCTCTCAGTAAGGAGTCCAAAGACATGTCGATGCAAGTGAAGGAGGCCAACATTAAGCTAATAATCCCACTTCTCAGAGAAAAGAAAAAGCTTTAGGAGTGGTAAAAAAACCAATCTTAAACATTTTTAAAAAGAAGAAATCCTCTGACCAGCTCTGTAAAACAAAAGGCCCGAAAGAACATGTAGAAAACTTCAAGGGGATGATGACAGAATTTTTTCCATGATTAAGACAAAAACTTTCACACAACTAGCTAAGGCAAGAAAAATCTCAAGTATCTTTGTCAAAAGCAAGAGAGGCCTTAATGAATGTAAATACAGTGGATTTACAGCAAGAGATAATGAAAACCACTGTTTACGCTCAAGAAGACCACTTTAAACTTTGCCTATTGTCTCTAATAAAGCCAGACTAGTTCTAGAAAAAGATTCTTTGAACCGATAAAACCAAGATTAACTAGTAGAAGAACAAAGGGAAGTGCATGAGGAAGGGAAGGCACAAATCATGATCCACACCATACCACATGATCTGGCAGGCATGGTGAAGGCCTGTGAATGCAAGCTACTGATTATTTCACAGTGGAACAAGTTAAATTTCAGTAAAGCTAAACAAAGAGATCTAGTTCGGTTGAATATGAGATTGGCAAAATCCAATTCACAAGGGATCACTCTGCATTTCTGATGAAACAGAGAAACTGAACAAACTTAATTACAAGTGGAGATGTAGCACAATGCAGGATTTTCAGCAATAATCAACATTTTGAATGATCAATGCCAATATGTATATAAGGACAGTTTTATAATTCAGATTTAAAATGGCACAAAATCACAACAACAGTCACATCAATACACTTTGAAAACCCCAACAATAAGGCAACCCTATGAGCAAGCACCTGGCAACAGTGGGAAGGAAAAACACCCTTTTAACAGAAAACAACCCCATGCAGAACCAGGCTCAGGGAGGAAGACACACTATAGAAGAAAGCCAAGTGAGCTGACAGCCATGAACTACATGAACCACACAGGGTCAATTGTGTGTTGACTGTCTGATAAATAGATTACCTTAACAGGGGTCAGGGTCATGACAGAAAAGAGGGAGAAGTTTGCGAACGAGGTTCGATTACTGAAGAGAAGCAGGGAAATGATGAGAGATTGAGACAGAGAAAAAACACTTTTGAACTGGGAAACGAAGGGATTTCATTGTGAAAAATGTGTGTAATTGCTAAATGGTTATGAAAGTATTTTTATTAGCCTTCTGACGTCTGACTTGTGATTGGTGACGAGGCTAACTCTGATTCTGTGTTTGGGAGAAAAAACAAGAAGAACTTTCTTGTGGGAAAAAAGAAAATAGTTTTTTTTATGTGTGTCAGTTAAAATTATTTCGTTTGTTTCCTGATTGCCAAGAGAATAAGTTGGAGAACAATAAAAAAAAACCATACTTTCACAACAAAGGCTTGGGATCAGGATAATTACCAGTGACGAGTTAGACCTCACAGTTTTGAAATCCCTTCACCTAAAGCTGAAAGTCTAGACTTCAGTCACACCTTCTTTTGCTCCCATACTGAGGCAGATTTGTGAGTTTCCATTGAAGTACTAATGGATCTGGTTATATTTACAGGCTATCCCAACCACAATCAATCAATCAATCAATCAAAGTAAATGCATCACAACAAATTCGCTTACAGTATACTATGAATAGCCAAACACATTAATGGGTCAGAACAGCTGAGCACTTTTGTTTATACAAAAACATTGCACAAGGATTACATTAGACTTACATTTAGTTTATCCATGCAGAGTGTTTCTGTTTAGACCTGACCGTACTCCACAACATACTAGTGACATCTGTTTACAAAAACATTGAATGCTTTTGTTATGACTGGTTTATGATATGAGCACGCTACCAACAACATGACCTAACTGATGGAGGTAAACATGGTTCACTGAACTCATGAGCAGATGGACTTGTTTATAATTTTTATCTTCTAGCTGTTTCTCTCCCTGCGTTTCTTCTGCTTGCTCATGTGCTGTGGCAATGATATTTTGAGGATATCAGTAAATCAAGCATGTATATCATGAGCTTTTCTAAATCATCAGTGGTGGAACTGTATCACTGTAGATGATTGCCTTCAGTGTATAAAAAGCCTTTTATGATCATTTTTGTCTCTCTAGATTGGAAAATATGAAAGCTGATTGTTTTGTGGTTGCTTTGAGCCAAAAAAATTAAAGGATTTCTAAAATTTCTGTAAAGACGAGTGGTCCAAAATCCCTCCTGAGATGTGTGCAAACCTGGTAACCAACCACACGAAACCTCTACCACTGTACTCGCTAAGAAGGGCTGGGCTAGTTCTAAGTCATGCTTTGCTTGGGGATCAAATTGTTATTTCACTCAATGACATTCAATAAATTTACAATTTTTGTGTAAATTGAGCATTAAAAACAAACATAAAATTAGAGATTGTTCAGTTTGCTATACGTGAGTAAACATGATATGCCCATCTTTAGACTAACCTTTGAATGCTACAGGTTTTGCTGTTGGAAAGCGGTGAGGTGGCTGCTTTTTAAATAACTTGTTATCATTGCCTAAAACAAGCTGGTGGTAAATGGAAGCAGCCAAACACATAGACTTTCTAGATATTTAAACTATGCAAACAGGTGGTTTGATGAAGCACTTTTGTTTCTGTAAATGCTGACTTTAAGAAAAAAGTGAGGGTCAATTAAAGGTCAATTTGCTTCACAGGTGGTGGAAGCTGGTGGAAACACCAACACTGGTGTAAACGGGCCAGATGGGGAGCTGTATAACCTATAGTTTACCACCGTGCTTAATTTCTGTCTCAATAAACATTTTTGCTGTCCTTAATGTGTCTAATCATTATCATCATTTTAGATTGTCAGTCTTAAAGCTGTAAATGAGGATAGCGTACACTGTAGTAAGCTAACACCGTATCGAAGTGCTCTGTCATGCACTGAGATGATACTTTCACTGTTGGAGGACGATGATGAGGCAAAATCAACAGTTGAGTGTCCCAGCTTTGTTTGTTAGTACTGCTTTCCTGAAAATTGTTACTTAAGAACAGATCCTACATATCAGTGAAGTAAACACAACATAATATGTGTTTGTTTTGCTCTCCCCAGGTAAACCCACCCTACTATGTTAAAACTGGTGGAGCTGGTACCTCACCCAGAGACAGCAGCAGCCGTTATGGACACCACCCATGCTCTGATGACCAAGGTACAAATCTTACACAAAAGATTACACATTTCTGGGCCCTGTTATGCCCGAACTTGTTGGACAGATTTCAAAAGAAATCAGAATAACCAGTGGATTAAGAGCACGAGGAAGCCAAACCCCATGCTATGATTAGGAGACCAATACTGCTGTCATACTATGTATTAAGTGCTGGTGATAAGCCTAGCTCCTAGCTTTCTTTTCACATTAGTTTGACGTTGTTCTGGCCATTTTCAGTATTTGACAGTGTGTCACAGTCTCGAGTACAGCTGCTACACCACAAATCTTAACAAACAGTTTGTGATCATGTGAATGATTACATACTTTATTCCAAGCAAGTCTCAACAAGCTTGTTTTCTTAACATGAACAACCAGTGGCTTCCTGCAACTACTAAGCTTCATCAATGAAGCTGTATTATTCATAATTGTCTTGTAGATCTTTTGCTGCGCTTGGCTTGACTTAACTGATTTCTCCTGACGCAGGTTGGCCAGGCACCTGTCCTTCTGAAAAAAGAGATCGATGGCTTTGCCCTAAACAGAGTTCAAGCCGCCATTATTGCAGAGTCATGGAGACTAGTTCAGGTTAGTGTTTTCTGGGCATGTGGGTGGGGAGTTGTGTTGAGGAGCCAGTTTTTCAAAGCACTACCAACTTCAAGCAAGGTTAGTCATGAATATGCTTTCATAACCTTTGTGTTCAAATGCAAGAAAATGCTCATAAATATATGACACTAACTGAATCTCCAACAAAAAAACCCTCATTGCTTTACTGCTGCATTGCTAAAGCTGACTTCTAGTCATAATGACGAGTGTTTTTACTTGTTTTTACCTCTGGACAGGAGCGCCTCAGTCTCAGTCAGGTTTCATGTGGCTGCTGATGGTTTTGTAATAGAGGCAGGAAAGAGGAAGCCCTTGTCAGCTCACCTCTTCTATTATGTCCACAGTCTCCCTCTAAAAAGGAGCACAATGAGACTAAATGAGCTTTAGCCTCTGATGACAGGCACTATTACGTGGTCACTCACTGAGGAAAAAGCTTGAATGATAATGAGAGCGATGGAATGGTGACAATCAC